ATTTAATAATATATTTACTTTTAATTGTTTTTAGGAGAGAGGGTCGAAGAAAGAGTTAAAGGTAGCGGGACATGGATTGAAGCTGATTTAGAGGGTTCCACTACAGCTACCCAGAGAGAGATAGAGGGTTGGATATCTAGGTCTGGTCTAGCTTCACTCCAGAGAAACAGTTTAACAAAGATAGACATGAACCTGGTTTCCGCATTTGCAGAAATGGCATCTAGAGACATCTTCATTTCACATGTCGTTTGGTGAGATGACGATTACTCTAGATGACGTATCTTGCCTGCTTCACTTGCACATCAGGGGAGTCTTCTGGAGCCCTCAAGATATCAGTGAAGCGCTTGCTATTGAGTGGGTTGTTGATTATTTAGGAGTGTCACGGAGAATGGCACAGCAACAAGTCCGTGACTGCAGGGGTTCCTACTATAAGTTGGAGTCGTTATATGATCGATTCGTAGAGCATAGAGTTGCATCTAGATGGGATTATGCCACTAGAGCTTAGTTGTTGATGTTAGTGAGTTCCACTATTTTTGCGGACAAGACATTTACGTTTGTCAAGGCACAATACCTCTCACTATTTATAGACTTGGATGGCTTATCAGGATACAGTTGGGGAGCAGCTGCGTTGGTTACTCTTTATAGATATCTCGGATATGCTTCCATGTTCAGTTGTAAGTAGCTTGGTGGTTATCCGACTCTCCTACAAGTATTTATTTTAATTTAGTATATTTTGTTTTAATTTATTTTATCTAGTATATTAATTTTATTTATCTAGTTTATTATGTTATAATTAATTATTTTAAATTTAGTAACAATATTAATTTTGTAACAGTGTTGGATTCATGAGTATTTTCCAACACTTGGAAAAAAAAAGGAGAGAACTGGATACCAGCTAATAATGTGGGTCTCCCTCGAGCGATGAGATGGTCCTATAGGCAAGGTGCCTTAAAGGTGGATGACTTGCGACCTATTCTGGACGAGCTGACACTTGCCGATGTCATATGGTGCCCATTCGAGAATCATAGAGTATGACGTCAGTTTGATGTGTTATGTCTATATAGGGGGTGTCTGAGGTGGGGTGACACTATTGTTCCATACTTGCCTGATAGATGTATGCGTCAGTTTGGATACAGGCAGTATGTTCCACATCCACCTCTTGATTATACGATGGCTGGTGATATTGATGTTGACTGGATTAGTTACCATCAGAACGTTCAGGATGTGATTCGTCCGACAACACCGGCCACCACCCCATATGAGACAGATGATGGATATCTTCAGTGGTATTATCGTGTTTCACATCCTCTTCTGGTACCGCCCAATCGTGATGCGACAACAGAGATGCCAGTTCCTGTATATGAAGCAGGACCATCTGATCCTATCTTGGCTCGTGTGTCTTCATTGATTCATCGTTATCTTCAACAGGCTGGTGCTGAAGAGGATGACCCACAGTTTGCTGATTTGTTCGAAGCTTTACATATTGCTCGATCACAGTGACTTATATTTATATTTATGGTCATATGTTAACTTTTAGACTCATTTGACCTAATTGGCTTATGTTCATGTGTTAACTTTTAGACTCATTTGACCTAGTTGGTTTATGTTTATGTGTTAACTTGTAGCCTGGAATAAAAAATGAATAACATAATTCACGATTCACGTTTTGAAATTAAAAATGAATAACATAATTCACGATTCATGTTTTGAAATTAAAAATGAATAACATAATTCATGATTCATGTTTTGAAATTAAAAATGAGTAACATAATTTATAATTCATAATGCGTTGGTAATATAGGCGTAAGTTGTTGCCAATGTTGTAGACGTCCTACAAATCCTAGCATCCAAGATGTTGTTGCTGGAGAACGAAACTTCTTCCAATCTACTGTCATTGGTGGCAATGGAAACGATTATTTCATGTTTAACTAAATAAAAAAATAATCAAAATATTAAGTAAAAATAACGAAAAAGAATTAGGTTTAATCGCATTATCTAAAAACAACTAAGTACCTGAACCCAATGATTTCTGTTTACAAAACCAATGCAGTAAATTGCTACATTTGGTGAAAATGAAGTTGTCATAGGGAAGAAAGTCCAGCATTCAATTTCTAAACAGACAAGTACAACATTATAACGATTCGCTATCACGTAACCCATATCTGGTAGAGTTAACCATTTATGTGGTGGTTGAGGACCAAATTCATCTATCATCAAAGATTCTCTCACTACTGCTAACTGATCAGTAAATAAATTGGCATACAAACTTGATCTTTCATTATGCATTATTTCCAACCCCAAGTCTCGACGAAACATTGGCCAACCATCTTCACCATATCCATGCAATGAAGCAATGACTCTAAATCCACAATTACCATCTGATATAACATTAACTACATCATTAATATATGACCTGGTGTGATTAGGAAACTGAAGGATGAACTGTTTAGATGACTGTGAAGATTGTGATAATTTCAACTTCTTCGAAGCATGTGATGGTTGGGATTTCTTTTGTGAAGACTGTGATAATTTCAACTTCTTCGAAGTTTGTAATGGTTGAGATTGCCTCTGTGAAGATTGAGATGCTTGGTCAACATACTCATGATACGAATGGTCTCTATAAAAATCATACGCTACTGGTTTTTTGTCTTTCTTCTTGACTCCCCCTTTAGTTTTTATTTTCTCAGGTGGTGGACACATAGAAGTCATTGTGGGGAAGGCAAGTTCAAAAATCCTACTTTTTAATGCCCTTTTCCCAACAACATCCAATGACATAAACCTTTTCCATAACTCATCTATTGCACTACTTATATCCACCTCTAATTCATCATATACGTCTTCGTCCAACTTAACTTCCATACTTAGTTTTCTACAATGAACATGCATAGCATCTATTGATATCGGTATACCATCAATTCTATATCCTGTCAACTCACAAGCACAAGGTAATCCGTAGGTTGTTCTAAGAGTACAACGACATATTTCCTTGTTACTTCCAACATAATCAACTCGTTTTAACTCTTCAGCAATGCGTCTCAATGCATCTCGAGAACTGAACCACGTAAGTTATTGTAAAATGGACTTACGTGGGCGTGCGCAACTTCATAAAAACTCTTTTTAAAAGAAGCTCTAATATTGCCCAATTGTAACTTTAAGTTGTCATTTATAACCTCCCAACATTTGACCATGTCACCAATACTGTTCCCCAACATTTGCTTTAACTTCCAATGAGCAGACTCAACCCTAAAATTAATACATATTAAAAATATTTTTAAAAAATTCAAAAAAATATACAATTTAGAAATACTAAAAATAAATACATACCGATTAGTCGTGGTGTTACCCAAATGTAGCACTCGATTAATCCATGCTCCAACAAATCTTTGTCTATGTGGTGTCAACCATGTGTCTTTCACATAATCAATAAATTCATTACAATCAACACACGTCTGCTCAAGTTGGTTCAACCTTTGATCATACTCAACCTCATCACTAGCCCATACAACATCCGTCCATAATTCGTCAATTTTCTTTTGCATGTCACTAGCCACATATTGTTTCCGTTTTGCACTAACATTCTTGTTAATATGAAATCGACATAGCAAATTGATCGACCTTGGAAACACAATTTCAATGGCTTTCATCAAAGCAAGATCTCTATCTGTCAAAATCACTTGTGGACACAACTCTTTCTTCACAAACAATTGTTTAAGCTTATCTAGCACCCAACAAAAAGTCTCAGTCTGCTCAGACTCAATATAGGCAAATGCGACAGCAAAAGTCAACTCGGTTGATGTCATGCCAACAATTTCAAACAGAGGTTGCCTATATTTGTTTGTCTTGTAAGTGTTGTCCATAACTAACACAATAGGAAAAATATTCAACAACTTAACTGAATCTGGATGAGCCCAAAATATATCTCTAATAACTTCAGAGTCATCTCTTTTTCTACTCCAATAAACATAACCTGCATCCTCAATAAGCTTAAACAAATGTAGTATCTCACTTCTAGGACCTCTTATATTTCTTTCTATCATACTCTTCTGCTTGTATATTTGCGTGATCCGAGTGACATTATCTGGATCTTGCTCTTGCAATGAAAGCAATATATGTCTAGGTGAAACCTTTCTCTTTGTCAAATCAACAACATGTTGCTTCTGATCCGCTGTCAACCTACCAACAAATGCGCGACCTTTTAATCTATCAGATAAATCATGGTTATGAACTCCACATTTTACATCAATCTTCCATTCAGATCCATCAGTCGCTGGAATTGATCTGATTCTAAATGGACATCCACATTTTTTCGTCACACTATGGATTGCAGTATCAATATCTTTGTGTTTTCCTCCTTTATCACATCCAAATATTAATTTGTTACTTCTTTCTCTCTTGCCTGTTTCAATATCTGAACGAGTGATGATAACCGTTACTTTATTTCGGATTTCGATCTCTTTAATCCGTCTTATCACCTCTTTTCGTGTACCAAATCTTTGAGTAGTTGAAAAAACATCAGACGTATCTACGCATATCTGATTTTTATCGCATATTTATAAAAGAATTTCTGTACCTGCATAAAAATAAAATTACAAAAAAAATAAAAAAAAATGCAAATGCAAACCGGAAGACTCAGGAAAAGAGTTCCGGTAGCCAACATTATCACACGAGAAGACTTGTAAAGAGTGTTCTGGTACACTTTTTACAAGTACCGGAACTCTTAAGAAAAGTGTTCCGGTAAAATTCTACGAAAAACGCAAATCAGAAGTCTTTGATAAACTCTTCCGGTACATATTGTGTATAAAGCGGAACTCTTTGCCAAAGTCTTCCGATTTGGAAAAAACACCATACCGAAAGTCATTTTAAAAGTGTTTCGGAAGACACGATTGGTGAATTTCTCGAAATTCTAAAAATCTGACACGACACAGTAAAAAGTAAAAAAAAAATAATATAATAAAAAATATACAGGAATAAAATTTGTATTTTTTTAAAATTGTAGGGGTATGAATATAATTGTAGGAGTATGGGGTAAAATTTCCCGAACAAATCAATTAGGTATCTTGTTTAGAAAAGTTTACCCAAGTTTAAACCCTACTAAAAATTTGGTTAAACCCCATAACCGTATTTCTTTCGTCTCATCGTTGATCAGAATTTCCAAGGTACGTTCTCTTCCATTTCTTCCATTTCCATAATCTTCTAGGTTATAAATTCAACTAACTCTGGTTTTATTTTTTTCAATCAACTTGATATTTCAATTCTATTCTTGTTCCAATTATTGTGAAAATTCGGTGAAATCATACATTTTCTCCATCGGTGTGCTCTGCATGTTTGTGTGAAATTTTTTGTAGTTGATTTTGTTCCTTGTTTTTGGTTCATTCATTGAGCAAAATCTGAAACTGTAATTGTTTGATTTGTAATTTGTTATCAATGAAGAACATGAAAGTTCCAAACGTACCTGGTAGCGGTGCTGCCTCTGCACTGATGAAATTGGGAGTTATTGGTGGAATTGGTTTGTATGCTGCTGCCAACAGTCTTTACAATGTTGAAGGTGGTCACCGAGCTATTGTTTTCAACCGTCTTATTGGTGTCAAAGACAAGGTCATTTTTTGCCTGTTTTTAGCTAAGACAATTCATTGAAAGAGTGGTTATAGTGCTTGTGTTGTGATTGTATCTTGATATTGGTTGAATCTATTGATTTTGTTACTCCAGATTATGTTTTCTTGCTGGAAATTGAATTGGTAGGTTATTTTATGTGCAGGTTTATCCTGAAGGAACACATTTTGTAATTCCTTGGTTTGAGAGGCCAGTCATCTATGATGTCCGGGCGCGACCCCATCTAGTCGAGAGTACATCTGGGAGTCGTGATCTCCAGATGGTATGTAATAAATATCATTCATGGAATTGAAATTTTATATCATTGGTTCTTTATATCTACTCTTTAATTCATCGTGATCTACAAAATTTTCTTAGGCTATGTTTGGATTGATGGATTAGAACAGAGTGGAATGGAACCTAATGGAATGGAGTAGAATGAATTGGATATTTCATTCCATTGTTTGGATATTTTTGTTAATATGATGGAATGAAACATAACTAATTAGTTCATTCCGTTGCATGCGCCCCAAATCGGGCGGAATGAAAATTGAAGGATTTGATGGGATAGAATGGAATGGATTCCATCATGTTCCATTCCGCTCTATCAATTATTTACAAATCCAAACAATGGAACTTGATTACTTACCACTCCATTCCATTCCATTACATGCCATCAGTTCAAACATACCCTTAGGAGGATTTAGGCATTCCATTGCATCCTTTCTTTGTGATGGTTTACCTGTCTGGACATCATTCTGTGTCTCTGTTACATGCGCCATTCATACTGGACCACTATCTAGTTAATGAAGTAGTGTTCTGAATCCTCTATCTGTTCCATTATGTTTGAGTGTTTGACCAGTGACGCAATTTCCATTAATGTGAAACAGAAATAGAACTGCATCCAGATTGTAGAAAGTGTACTCACAATTTCATTTGAATTTTTTTAGAAGAGCTTATAGAAGTAGATTTTACGTAGTTTATAGAGTTTACTTTCATTACCTCTCCCGTCGTAGAAATAGCTTTTACATAAACTCTTAACTGACAAGTGTTTATTGAATAAACATTTAAGTGCGCTTCTATCTCAGCATCCCTTTATATTTAGGAATGTTTATACTTGTTAAGCCTATTCCCATTTGCAATAGCTTTGTTAATATTTTGAACAACTGCTAGTGAGCTATTTTGTTTTTGCATGAAATGGCCATTTTGGATATATCATGTTCAAAAGGTAAGATTTTAATGATTAATGATATAATAATATCTGGTGGTATTTTGATTTTTCGCATCAATTGTAGACATTTCAATCCTGTACTCTTGGCATCGGAACTTAAATGCCTCATCAACATTTCATATTCTGAGCTACTAGTTGCCTTTTCATGTTTAGCCTCTGTACTGGAATCCATACTTTCTCACATAATATCTGCTAAATGTCCTTTCTCCCACTTTCCCAGGGTTGCTTGATGCCTTATTTATAATTTATTTGGATGACAATGTTAGAAGTTTTGATTAATACTTTATAGGTTGAAAAGGTGTTTGGTGTCATCAAACCACTTTCCAGTACTTCATGTTTATAGACTAGTATACTATAGATGTTTTGTAAATTTAAACATGTGAGATAGTGATCTTTTCTATAAATTGTTTATACACACTTTACAGGTGAAAATTGGGCTTCGAGTTCTTACACGTCCCTTGCCTAGCCAGTTACCTACAGTTTATCGGACTCTTGGCGAGAATTATAATGAAAGGGTTTTACCTTCAATCATACATGAAACTTTGAAAGCTGTGGTTGCCCAGTACAATGCCAGCCAGCTTATTACTCAGCGAGAGGTAAGGAGAAAACACTTGTTGGCGTGAATCATGAAACCTCAGGTTAATTTATATGAAAGAAGTTGCTTATTACTGGGCTGTCTATTTTCTTTTGCGAGTCATGTTAAATCATTTTTGTTTCTATATTTGTTAGAAGCCCAACAGATACACACATGATTTGTGCTTTAAAATATTATAGATAAGTTCATATGTCGTTATCTACTTGCACATACAATTATTTTTATAAAATTAAAATCAAAACCTAATAGTTGTTTATTGTTTTAATGTCATGTGAACTGGGGAAGTAATATTGTTTAGTTTGTTTTATTTACATCACCCTAAATTTTGATTATCAACTAAGAAATACCTGTTTTAACTGACCTATTCTTTGTAGGCTGTTAGTCGCGAAATCCGAAAGATCCTGACTGAGAGGGCAGCCAATTTTAATATTGCTCTTGATGATGTGTCAATTACTACTCTGACCTTTGGCAAGGAGTTTACTGCTGCAATTGAGGCCAAGCAAGTGGCTGCACAGGAAGCTGAGAGGGCGAAATTTGTTGTGGAAAAAGCTGAGCAAGACAAAAGAAGTGCTGTAATCAGAGCACAGGTAAGAAGAAACTGTTAATACTTATGCAGTTACTAGTGTGGTGCTTGGTACAAGTTTTTGCTATTTTTATATTTTCAAAGCATATTACAATTGGAAAGTGTTGGTTGTTATTCTATCTAGCCCTAAAATTCAAACTGTCTTGTTTCCTTGATCATCATCTTGGATTCATCTGAGGTAATGACTAACAAATGTCTTCGTTTTGTTCACAAATCTGCTTGACAAGTTTAATGTGTTTTTAAATTGAATAATATTTTGGCAATTGCCAGTTTTACACCTCAGACCATTATTGACTTTTCTTACAAATCAACAGGGTGAGGCTAAAAGTGCCCAACTGATTGGACAAGCCATTTCCAACAATCCAGCTTTCATCACACTTAGGAAGATTGAAGCTGCAAGAGAGATTGCACATACTATATCAAATGCAGCAAACAAGGTTTTCCTGAATTCAGATGATCTTTTGCTGAATCTTCAGGAGATGAGTTTGGAGCCTGGCAGAAATTGAGCTGGTTAATCTATTTATGGTTCTTAATAATTTTCAAGTATGAAAATGATCGATTTAAGGATGTAGTTTTTCTTTAGAAGTCTCCTGGCATTCTGAATTTTTTTGGCTGCCTGAAATAAGCTAGATTCTTTACCAACAAGTTAGTATTCAACTACTAAGATGGTTTGTTCATCAGAATCATCGAAACATTTTACATTAGGTCATGTTTTGCCCGCACTATTTGGCCTATTCATGGCAGGGCTTTTACCCTATGATTTGAAATAGCACGGTGATAATGTGCAACAAACTGCAAAGGACATGTCCAGACATCTATGTAGTTGTATTTAGGGAGTGTTTGGCTGTTTCTATAATAAAGTAAAAAACAACTCCAATGAATGGCATTAAATAAAGCAGTAAATTTCATGAATATTAGAATGTTTCAATTAAGGAAACATAAAAAGAAAAAGGGACGCAGACTTACATGTTATTTACAAATTGTTTCACACTTTGATTTAGATATTCTAGTTTATAAAGAGTATATGAATTTTGCAATCTCAATTACAACGTTGAATCTTTTATAGATCATTGTCTCCGACAGCTAATTCCTAGAAAGTATACACGTCTTCAAGAACATGCAACTCGATCTTTTGATGCACTACCACATTGTTAGTATTTGAAAACTGTTGAAAATCATTATCTCACGTTTGTAACTGTTATTAGTGACTAATAACTATATGTTTGTTGAAAGTGCTCAGATCATTCTCAAGTCTTTTGTTTTCAAATTCTTTTAAGTCTTTGTAGTCTGTCGAATGCTTTAACTTTGACATGGTGTCGAGAAATCAATTAGATTTTTTTCTAAGACTTCTCCAAACCATGTTTCAAGATCTAGTCTTGAGATTCTTCCAAACCATGTTTCAAAATGCTAGTCGAAACGTTCCAGTTGATGTATTCACTCCTGTCGGCTTTAGTCAATCAATGCTAACACTTAACATTTTCCAAATGAAACATTCAAATAAAAATTCTAAGCTAACCGGTGCCTCCCAAAAATGTCACTACGATCATATGTGTCAGATGGAAGAAAGGTGACATTTTTGAAACTCTTCAACATTATTTTTCCAATTTGTACACATTACATCAGCTAAACTTTTTATTTAATTTATTATTTTTTCTTTGGTCATCATGACCACTTTCTACCAAAACGTTCCGTCACAGACGCACGTGCGGGTGATCATCATCATTATTCCTATTTCCTAGAAGATTTAACTAAAATGAAATGAAGACAAAAACCCTTTTATTCCATTTTCCCATCTTTTCCCATGATCTTTTAGTGCCAACTGTCGACTTGAGTGCGCTACATGTCCAAAATTATTTGGAGGGAAAAACTGAAATGTTTTCTTCAATTTTGGCTATTTGACACGTTCTCACTCAGCCCTCTTCACTTTCACCATTTACTTCTTCTGAAACACGAATGGAGAAAAAAATTCTAGAGAGTTTTCTGCAATCTATCGTCTTCGTCACCACATTTCTTCTTAAGAAAACATTTAAGATCAACAATATCTCCAAAATCTTAATCATGTCCTTCTTTGGCGACTGATAATGGAGAACCACTCAACATTAAATATCGCAACTACATTCCTAAACCTCCCATGGAGGACGAAAGAAGAAACATCTAATAGAGTAATGCTATCATTACCTACTCCATCGGAGATACAATATATGCTTTCATGGGTTGTCTCCCTATACATATTAAGAAACCTCAATGTTGAGAGATTTCTTTCTTTGCTTCCCTGGCTATGAACCCTTGGTGTTTATGGATGCACCCTTGGATCTTAGCTTCTTCAAGAATATGGTCTTTTGTTCTTTTCCTCTGACTGAGGATGCTTCATACATCCGGTGGTTAAATAAGGTTCAAGAAAAGAAGAAACACTTTTGGAAGGATTTAGGTATTTTTGACCTAATTCAACTGTCACGAGTTAGTCTCAAATACAACTCTCATATTCTCATTACAACCATGCGTTTATGGGATAGCTCAACCAACACCTTTCACCTTCCTTGTGGGATGATAACCCCCACACTTTTCGACATTGTTGTTATCGCTGGCCTTCAACCAACTAGAGATCCCTTTGAGCCTTCAACCAAAATCAAAACCAATCTTGGGTTTACATTCACCATAATATCTTATAGCTCCTTCATTGAAGTTCATCAGGCTTTGACAAATCGCATAAATGCTTATGAACACATTGCTTTTCTGATTTGCTGGCTTTCCTGGTATGTTTTTTGTGGTCGATCTGCTCGGGTGGCTAAAAATATTGTCCCCTTGGCCACCCAACTCCATGAAGGTATAAAAATCCACCTCAGTAGACTCATTTTATATGTCTTGTATGAATCTCTAGGGTTGGCCTCTTAAGACATGAAGAAAAGAACAAATCCTGAGAGCTTTCAGGTAGGTGGCCGTATCTGGTTTTTGCAATTGTGGCTCAATGCCACTTTCAAGCCTTCACTAAAAACCAGAATTCCTCCTAACTCAGAGGTAGGGGTCGAAGGTTTAAGGATCACCCAACTTACTCCTGACAATGGCAAAGCTATGTCTCAAGAGGTCTTTGAGTCTTACATCAACATGTTCTACAGATGCAAGTCGTTTACTTTGACTATGAGACAGTTCACCAGTCGACAGTGTGAACCTGAATGGTTCAGGAAACCATTTTCCAATCCATCCCACTAAGAATAAAAGGAAATACATGCTACTTTTCTTGCATTCTTATAACCCACCGCTCTACGGACAAAGCTTACATCTTCCAAATCATGAATAAAAGCGGCTGCTTACCAACCAAACTTGGAGGCGAGGCAGTTTAGTTTAAGCGAACTACTTCCTAAAAGGTTAGTTGCCACAAATTTTGTAAAAGGAAAGAGTTTTTCCTCAATTCCTTCTAATTCTTGCTCTGTTATCAATGCACCCAAAAATTTGAGGATTGGTGGGGCCTTCATTACGCCAATGTGCTAGATCCTACGCTCATGGCCCAACGCTTATTCAATGCTTTCTCCTTTTTGCAGGACTTGGAGAAGAAGAAAAATCGATCAACTAGGTCTAAAGTTAAACCCTTATTATCTTGCTTTAACTTCCTCTTGGGTTCTAATGCATTTTTACCTACCTTTTATTGGCATTCCCTCTAATCCAAAATCAACAACCGTTGGCTCTCAAGGCACCAACACTACATGAATTTTGTAGGTAAAAAAGGGTAACCAACCTTCTTTTGATTTAGAATTTTCTTGTCGATGTCCTAATTTGTTTTGTTTCTTTGGTTTCAAAAGAAAGTGAATACCTCTTTTGTTGCAGGGCATTAGAGGACTAACCCACTAAACAAGGATGTCGATGATTCTTCTAATGAAGAACACTGGTTTGTACCTCCTTTCTCTCCAACTCCTATTTGACTTCATTTGTTAAATTTTAACATTGTTGAACCATGTTAGTCTCCTTAGAAAGAAAGTGAGTTCCACATTAATGATGAAAGCATGCAATATCCTCAGTCTATCCCCCCTAAACATCAGCAAGATGCGACTATAAGAGTTGATGATGTTTGTCATACCCCAAATTTTACCCTTATATTCGTTGATCTTTTGCATATCATTCTAGGTCAATCATTCATGCATAGCTAACAAAACTATCAGCCTTTGCTTAGTTTAGTTTCACTTATGAATTATGGTTTATTTCAAGAGGCTTCAAGGGTTGATCAATCAAGGTTTTGGATAGATCCTCAACCAAGAAAGTTATCATACTCTCAAGAGGCCTCCCTTCCTCAATAATCCAATGTAATTTGGGTTCATCACAAGTCCTTCGAGGCTCAGGTCTTGCAAGACTGAATCAAAGATCAGGAAAGGTTATTAGGTCAAGGATGCGCGCGGTGTGGCCTGAGATTCAGTGGAAGTTTGACCTAATCTTGATCAAACAAGTGGTTTGTCTCAGTATCAGGTTATCAAGTTGTGGCAAAGATTCTGAATTAGGGTTTTAGTTCTAATCAAGTCATTGTTTCATCAAGGTGCACTTAAGGCAGGCGAATTAGGGTTTCTCACCCTTTCTGTTCAAGATGGGCATTTGTCGTACAATTCAGTTTCGCTTGAGGTTAGCAGTTTAAATGTGTGTAGAATTGTTCACTTCAAATGGATGTGATCTTGATCTTGGTTAAGAAAGAGGAGATTGTTTCATTCTCAAGTGGGATTGGGATTAAACATTGCTTTACATCTGAAGATCATCAAACTAGGGTTTTCATGTCAATTCAAGTTCGTTAGGTGGATTCAAGGTCAAAACAGTTGGTATATTTTCAAGATTTGTGGTGATTAAGTGCAATTGTCAAATTTTTTAAGTGTGGTTCAAAGGTGGATGCATGTCACAAAAAACGATCATATTTTATTCCAATTACTTTCACTTCCAAATTTCAAAACCATATCCATTCACAAACCACTTTCTTAGTCCATTTCGTTCATATTCAATTCAATTATCCGTATTTTAATAATCCATATCATTTTCAAATCCACTTCTTTCATCTAATTCATGTCCATATATCCATTTTAACATCCATGTATCCATTTAAACCATATCCATTTTTTAACTTTTTAATTTCTATTTAATATCAATTCCAATTTTCCATTTTTTTGTTACAATATTTCACCAAAAATTCTAAACCAAGTCCAATACATGTTTCAATTTACAAGTCCATTAAGCTACACTAAAAAAATTTGAAAGCCCAATACAATTTCTTAACATCAAAAAATGAAAAAAGGTACTACAAGCCACATGCCTAAACCACTTTCTCAAGCATCTAACATCAGAGGCCAAAAGCAAAACCTTATGCCATTTCCACATCCAAACCTCCTGCACAACAACAATGGTACCACGACTCACCCCATACCACTCCAAAACCTGCGACAAACCTGCCAAACTTACAACCCTGAAGAACAAAGCAAAAACCTGCAATACTCTGCTACACTTTAAAACAAACCAAAACCTGCTACCACAAGACAAACAA